CCGGTCCGGGCGCATCCACACAGCATTCCAATGCTTGCTTCATTTGCCACATTGCCCCATGCGAGATGCAAGATGCGAGGATTTCATCAATTCGTCTCCCTTTTTGTGGCATTTGCCTGCTACTTACTCCTTTCTGTGCATACTGAACGTTTTGAGTTGCCATTTTGTGGATATGTCGATTTATTATTTTTTATTGTTGTTACGTTTTACGACTTTGCCGACTACTCAGGCTGCAATCCGCTTTATCCGTGCTCTGGGCTGCCGACGGGGCAAACGGACAGGGCAGATCTGCAGATATTTCAAGGCATTTACGGCACAGCACAGTCGTTCCTCAGCTTTCAGTTCCTCATCTTTTTCGGTAGCAAGAACTTATCCAGCTGCAGAACTCAACGAAATTTTATTAAAATATTTCGAAAGCATCTCACTCTCTCTATCTCTCTAGCTCTCTGGTTCTATCCTTTTTTTATTGCTCAAGTTAATTTTACAGCACGATGTCAAAGTGTTCTGCTCGGAGAGACACAGACTTTTTGGGTTTATTAGCAGCTGTGAAATGAATGCATTTTAGCTGGAAAATATTTCACCGTGTTCTGGTTATAGATGGAGCAATAAAGATTTTCAATATACATATTGTAATATTTTATACCGGAAGATACTGCTAGAAACTTTAATTTTATTTTAAAACACAATCAAGATGAAAGGCTTTCAAAAAATGATTCAATAATGAATACTAAAAGAATTACTAAATGTAACATCATTGATGGATATACAAAACGACTTGTGTTTACTTTACGAATAATGCAATTTAACTTTTTCAGCTTTTGTTAAAATAAAGGGACATGCTTTAATCATTAAAGCATCATTAATGTACATTTCTCATTTACCTCTGCATTAAAAGTGTTTTTCATTTTTAATCTCTCACAAGTCGATCAACAGCTCCTTCTTCCATGTCGCTGACATAGATTCCAGCGATGTGGATGATGTGTACCACATAAATGTACATACATAATAAATATAAATGCCAATCACCAGCTTAAAAGATATTTTAAACTATAGAAAGCTACATATTCAGGTTTGCTCTTCTAATTGTTTTATATGTCTCTAAATAAGTATCTTTGCAGCTTCAACAGTTGTAAAGCTCTATAATCGGGCTATTATAATTAATCAAAATTGTTGATTAGCAGTATGCAGCGTAGAATTAAGATCGTGATGGTCGAAACGACTACCAATTTGAATACAATGAACCCGGATAAGATACCTAGATGAATTGTCGATTTGGAGCAGAGCGTTGACAGATACTCAACGAGTATGCATGCACATGTTGACATTTGTCTACGAAACCAGACCTGAATCATGCTTAAGGTGGTACGCAAGCACAATGTACACTAGATCCGATCAATAGCCAGTCACAGAAAAGTATATAAAACACATCAAAGTGATAGAAGAATAATCTTAGGATTTTTAAATATGTACAAACATATATATTATTTGACCCAGGATTTAAGTCGTGGGCAGTTAGCTTCAAAATCGTTTTTAATTTTTTTAAAATTTTTTTTATATATATTTAGTACATACTATGTACCTGTATTATGTCATGTATAACTTAAACTATACAATTATCGATGAAAGTTGGCGCAGAGTAGTTGGTTGCAGCTATCGAAACGAAGTCGGTGCCGAGGCGGCTGTCGTCGATTGGCAATGGATTCCTTTGGCCATGTAATGCCTGCCAATTGGTACAAAAAAGCTGTATATAAACCTTCTTCAGGAGGAGCGTGGCCTGAGCAGCTGCAGCAGACTCCGTAGGAAGGGCGGGCTGGAGGAGGAGAAGGTGCAGCGCCAAAAACCCACTTCGTGCTGCAGCAACAAACTCATAAAAAGGCGCAGAAAAACGAGCAAGAAAACTTGGCTAACGACTTAAACGACTCGACGGGGAGCAGGATGGGGACGAGCATGGAGTGCCCGGAACGAGGACACTCGGGGAACACTCGGAGCCGGAGACGGAGTCGGATTCGGAGTCGGATATTGTGAGAGGGCGAGCAGGAGCAGAGAGCCGAGTGGAAGGTTAGCTGCAGTTTGGACAGTAATAAAAGTAATAACAGCCCCAATACCAGTGCAACCTGCATATACCCATCTCGTGTATATACATATGTACCTATGTATGTATGTACATATATATATACTTATATTTCTCTGCGTTGGTGTGGATGCACTCCTGCCACTCGACCCTGCGCAGAGTCAGTTTATGCGCGTTAATGGCATCGTTTACTGGCTAACTGTACATACATATAATGTGCATGTACATACCTATGCATACATACATATGTACATATATATCCAAAGATATATATGTGTATATGCATCTCGGCATTTCTGTATGGGTGTGGCAGTGCAACAACAGCTGCAGCTCGTTGCAGAGGGGAAGCAGACAAAATATTCGTTTAAAGTGGGCGTTACCAGCATCTTCCGAGCAGCTTACATAATAAACACATAATCTGTATACTCGTTCAGTTCGGGAAAAGTGACTAAAATGTCCTGGGATCGGGACGAATATTGAATTTGTTTCACGTCAATCAAATTAAAAATATTCCACATATCTGAGATGCGAACGAAAAGGGACATAAATCCTTTATGGCATGGTATACGAAAATATTGATTCTGTCGATTTTATTTCATTATAATGTATCGTCAGCTGTCAAAGGTTTTGGCAATCATCTCAATAAGATGAAAGGTGTATGTAAGTTTATGCAATCTTACATAAGTAACTTTATTTAGATATGTAGAAATGAAGCGATGTTAGAAAAGTTTAATTTTGTGTTTGCATACTGAGGGAATAAACCCTATCGCACAGAGTTCTGTCTAATCCGATGGCACATAGTGATTAAAATGCAAAAGCAAAACGAATTGGGGCTAATCAAATTGTTTGGCTTGTTATGGCCACGGTCATGCTGTGTTTGGCGGCAGCAATAAATCAATTTATTAGATTTATTTGCGGCTAATAAAATAATCTGAAAGCATAAAATACTAACTACCACCGCTCCCCCCAAAAAAACATGGCCAGGCGCACTAATGGCTTAATTACTAAATTAAAGTGCTGCAAACAGCACAACAAATGTGCGTGCAATGCGATCAAATTCATGCATGCCACATGCCTCATGCTACTCCTGTGTCTGTGTGGTGTGCCTGAGCGTGTGTGCATTGTGCCACGCCAGAAATCATGTAAGCTAAACGGCACCGCAATTGCAGCAAGAAGCAACAACAGGAAGTAGAGCTCCTCCAAAGACATGCTTGAACACAGCTCGCAAACACACACAAGCACGCACACACACACTGCCCACTGACTGAGTTCACCAATGCAAATCTTGCGCCACAAACTCCCTGCAACAAAGCGCCAACTACTCAGCACAGTTGCATGCAACAACAGCAGCAGCAGCAGCAACAGCAGCAACAGCAGCGCCAGCAACAACAACAGCACTAAAGGAGGAAAGAAGCGAGAGACATAATAAAACGGGCCAATGGATATGAAGCTCCGCCTACAACGAAACTACCGACAACGATGACGATGACTATGCCGAGGCTATTGTTGTTGCTCTTGTTGTTGTTGCTGTTGTTGTGTAGGTAAAAACAAGAAGAACAAAAAAATGGCAGGCGATACGAAGAGCATAATGGCATAAGCTCAAAGTGAGAAAGAGAGAGAGGAAAGAGTGAGAAAGAGTGGGCAAGCAACTTAAACGTGAAACGACAGCACCAGAGGCCACACGAATAGTGCCACAGCAAAATGAAGAATGGTCGGACAGGTAGCCATTGGGGAAATAAGTGGAATAAATGTGCAATGTTCGAACAAAAAGCATTCGAAATAATGTGTTGGTGTTCATGAAGCCACTCGGAAATTTTAACTATATTAAAATGCATACCAGATCAATTGCAACACCTACAATTATGTACAGTTTTATGTATCTTAATTGAACAACAAGAAGTATTTCCTGCAAATGGTTGTTTTTTTTTTAACGTTGCTATGACAGCTCCATAGTTTACATATATGTATGCATACGGATGTTTCTGCAAGTGTTCGTAAGCTACCTACTAGATGTATTTATCTATATTAAAATACATAAATAACATACTATAATGGATCGTACTCTAAGTGGCATTCTTTTCTGTGCTAAATCCTATGTAAAAATATTTAGTTTTCTAATACATATACCGGAAACTTAGGAAACGTTTAGTATTTAACTACATACATATGTACATACATAGGTACATACAATATGAATATGTTTCCCTTAAAACATTAAACATTCAATATTTCCATCTATTTATGCTCTATTCTATGATGCCATAAAACAAATAAGTTTTAAGAAAATTGTGAAAGTTTTACAAAGTAAATTAGATTGTATATATATATATATATACATATGTATATAATGCATTTTCTACATTTGAATGCAAGTAGGAGTAAAATAAATGCACCTACATAGTGTGCAAAATGTACATTGTACACTATACATATGCCTAAGAAGTAATAAAATAACCATTTTTATATAAGACAACTAATCAGATTCAGACCAACGCTCAGCCATTCTTTACCTCTTGCATTACAGCAGCCTCCTCTTAATGCTGGTTGAGCATTTGTTTTGTCTCTTTATTATTTTAATGGCCTGCGGTGTGGGCCTCGAGTGGTTCGATTCCGTTCTGGGTTCCCTCCAGTATTGGGTTGCAATTTGTGCCTACGTATTCGCCGCCATGTTTATGTCTCGCATGCCTTTGTCCGGCAGAGATTGCCGGAGGGAGAGAGTGGGAGTCGGGTCTGTCGCTGCTGTACCGTATGCAGATAAGTCGGGACTGTGACTGCCTACTAGCAGATTTGTTTATTTATTTCAATGTTTATGTTATGTGGATTGATGAATGAATGTAGCTAACTGTGAATTAGATAAGAGATCGGTGTCCGATCATTGAAATCATGGGAAAAACTAACTTGTGTCTCATATTTTTTGTATACATTGCAGGCCAAGATGTTTTCCTAGACTATTGCCAAAAGCTATTAGAGAAATTCCGATATCCCTGGGAGCTGATGCCGCTCATGTATGTGATATTGAAGGACGCTGACGCAAATATCGAAGAGGCTTCGCGTCGCATCGAAGAGGGTAAGTGAAGAGATCTGCAAGTAGCACACCACCCCACCCCCCACAACATGTGAATACACCTCACTCACACCACATGTGCAACGAACATACATATATAATCAATGCCCAATATCTTCCGATCTGATCCAAACCAGGCCAGTACGTTGTGAATGAGTACTCCCGTCAGCATAATTTGAATATCTATGACGGGGGGGAGCTACGCAACACAACGCGGCAATGTGGATGATAAATTGTTCATTAACTGACTATTGAGTTACAAATATTGCGATTTTATTGTTGCCCCGATATTTATTGTTCAGCATCACAAACTTAGCCTAATGCTTAAGCGACGATTCGCGCGCGAGTTCGACTTGAGAAAATCAAAGTAAAGTAAATTAAATTAAAGTTTTAAGAAGCCAAACCTCTGTAAATATATCGAATTTATCGGTAAGCTAAAGCGCCACTGGATTATCTTCAATCAACAAACCAAATATATCGATGTGTGAGCTGTGACCGTTGCTCCCCACGCCCTTTTTCTTCAATCAATATACCCCCCACTCTGAGGACGATGTCGATGTCTGTCTATCAATCAATCAATCAACAATCAACATTCTCTTCTCTTCAATCAACACGCCCCCATTGGATCCTACTCAACACTCAAGAAAAACTATGCCGCCAACGAAACGATGAAAAAAAATGAATCTAATATTTTTAATATTTTCGAAAATATCGCAAATCAAACAACATTTCAACAATCAACACAAAAATGTACATCGGGTGTACAAATTTAGTTCAAAATTTGTTTAAGTCTTTCATTATTTCTAGATAGTTTTTGGTTTCCCTTCCCTCAAAGCTCTTCCCACGAGTCACTTAAGTTATTCCTTTGTTACCTTAGTACTTAATTGAAGCATTAATGAATTTAATCAACTTATGTACAGTTGAAATTGGATATCAATAGGTGCCATGGAGGAAGATACGTTACAAATATTCCATACTCATCCATAAAGTTCTACCCGCTAATCTCAAAAATGTTCGCTACGTATAAATATAAATGAGAGTTTTTGTCCGAAAAAGGAAAACTAATTTCCAGCTGGTGATCTGCTACGAAAAACTGTTGTGAGATGGTGCACAAATAAAATATATATATATATATATATACATACATACGAGTTAATAGGTTAACTCTTTCGATGTACTGCGAAGCTCTACTTGTAGTATTTAATAATAATAATTCTCATTGTATAAATATTGTTATCGACTTAAGTAGGATTTAGTCCAACGAAATATTATAAAAGCATAAACCTGAAATGTCAAAAATAAACTATTTTCCCTAATCAGAGAATCGGTTAGGCTGACCTTTATTCCCGAGAGCAACGGCGAAGAGCGAAGTGGATTTCCCGACCTACACTGCCTACCCCCTCCCACTCCTTGAAGCCATTAACAAATGGAAACGAAACCCGAATCCCCAGAAAATGGAATTGCCTCAGTGCAGAAGTATCAGCTGCTGTTTGTTTTGTTGATGACATTAAAAATTGTAACGATTGCTTTTCAAGTTGTTGCCATTTCACTGAAACCATTACCGTGGCACGTCCCAGAAGCAGATGAAGTTTTTTGCTTCCAGTCCGGGATTGGCGGTGGAGCGGTGGCGCGGTGGAGCGGTGGGGGGAAGTACGGGAGCTGGGAGTTGCCTGTGTCGCCACTGCTGCTGGGATCGTAAATGCATCATTAAACCGAAAAATGCATGCGAAAAATTTACGACATTGCCAACACCGTCGCTCAGAGGCTTGGGAGACCCAGCTTCGGTTTCAGTTCTCAGTTTTGCCTGCTTCCTTGCTTTCCGGCATGGGAAAGCTCCACTACGCTCCACTCTACTGCCAGGTAGCTGCAATACTCCGGCCGTAACAGCTCAACATCGTTTCTCGGCACTAAACACGTCACGATGGTATTTTAGGATTGCAGGATGACGCGACTGGGACTGGGACTGAGACTGAGGCATGAACAACGGGCTCTCTGGGTTGCAATGGGTAGGCAATGGCGACGTGTAAATGTGGGCACCATAAAGCTTAAAAGTGTTTATGGTTGAATTGTGCTGGAATAGTGCGTGGAAAGGGAGGAGTGGATCGTCCAACATGTGAGCAGATTCGATGGCAAAGAATTGAGTGTTTTATTGAAATTGGCAGGCGGCGATTTGCCCGCCAATAGGCGATCCAATTAAAAAAAAGGTTGATCTTAGAATAAACGATTTCAAGTTTGAAAATTTACTGGAACCATGCGACATCTGCCATTTGTAACGTTAATCAATTGTGGGTGCAGCTCCTCGTTTCCAATAATATGCCACAAAGCAAATGACTCAATGCATACACCCGAAGGAGAATCTAGCTCAACCCCACATACATAACTATTTTATGAGTCATTTCCATATCCTCGCGTTTTGTCATATTTTGAGCGACGCCTCTCTTTGTATTCCCATAAAAAATAGACTCGCAAGTATACCATTTTGTATGGGGTTCGCCATAACGAGTTGGGAGCCTCATCATCATCATCATCATCATCTTGTGGATGTGAGTGTGGATGCGGATGCCCGCCTACCTCAGACCAGTCCAGTCAGCCCAGCTCAGCGAGCTCTAGTACAAATTCTTTCCACTTTCATCCCAAACATTTACCAATGCTTATTAAAAACTATAGGGAAGTGCAGACCCAGCGGCAGCAGGAAGCAAATATTGCCAACTTTACGACTTCATATTGTGGGCGGGTCGTTAAATATTTGTGCAGCGTCAACTTCTACTCTACATCTCCATTTCCATCTCCTTCCTGGAGGGCTACTGTTATTTTTACTGCTCGACAACTTACATGGATACGATACCGACACAAGCTGCCACTTGTGCCAGACATCTGATATATGATCTATATATAGAGACAGGCAGGATGTATCCCGGTCCATCCCCGTTAAATAATAACCAGCCAGTTTGTCATAAATGCCCCTAACATAATCAGCCTGGACATACATTTTTCATAACATTGGCCATGTCCACTGCCTTATTCATGTTTCTCTCTCGGTACAATGGTTGCCTTCTCGGCCAAGTCAACTGAAAAACTATTGTCGAGGTTTTGTGGCCTGCAAGCGCTCAGATAATGAAACTCTAGAGTCTACAGTCTAGAGAGGGTGAGAACAGGCCAGGGAGCTAATTTCATAGCGGAGAGCTTTATACACGTGAATAATGGTTAGTCATTCGTCTAAGCAGTTCGTTCGGTGAGCTGCTATGTGGGTCATGGCTAGAAAGCATTCAGAAATATTCTTCATTTGCATTGTCCCTAATCCGTATGCGAGTACTCATTTAAGATATGGCAGCTTCTACTTTCAGAATTCTAGATAATATTATCTTTTCTCTCATGCAGCTGCAATAATGACAATAGGTCACAGATACCTTCTAATGGTTGTTAGAAGCAAAAGACCAATAAGGCCCACTTCGTATGAAGTCCTTCTTCAATCTGTCAATCAATGTTGTATTATTTTTCCAATCTATAACCTAACAAATCGCAAAGCCTTGGAATAGTTTTCTCTATGTGTAAATTCAAAGCAGCAATCTCTCACCTGCGTTTGGCTTTAGAACCGTCGAGAATGGAGGCGGCTTCCTCCTGTGCTTAGAATACTTGAAAATCCATCCTTCTAATTAACCCAACACCAGGACTCAGTTTATGGACTGACCCAAGCGAGATAGCTATATATTAACAAGTTCCTTTAAGAGCTACTTTAGAGGGAGAGCGCGGCTGTCTTGGACGGCTGCCCTCTGCACCACCAGCCTCGATCCACCCAACGTCAGGTCACAACTTCTTTACGACTTTTTATTATTTCGTCAAATTGCACAATGGGCGGGCGGCATTAGTTGCGACTAGGTTGGGTCCGGTATTGACTGTACCTATTCCCTATCAAATATTTTGGAGTCTCGAGAGCAGGAGCACGCTCATGCGTAATTCTGCCTCGTATGCTCTGGCCCTGTTTAATGCATTCTGCAGTTGGCGGAAGAAAAAATCCCATTAAAATTAAGTAAAATTGCAGCAGCACCAGAGTAATCGTAAAAACTTGGCATTTTGATGTTGCAGCAAGCAGTAAAATTTTGAAAAGTTTTTGCCACGCAGATAAGGAGGGGAGTCAGCGGAAGACAAAGGCTCTTGCAACAGAAACTCCAACTGGAGCTGGGATGTGGCTTTGGCTTTGCCTTAGCCTGTATATGGGATCTGCAGCGGCAGGGGCAGGGGCGCCGTGCTGGGGAGGGTTTATTGTGTGAGCACCGTGCGAAGGTTGCACATAAAGTGCATGCCGAGGCCATAGGTGGGCCGGCCCGGGCCGGGTCCCCAGGTGCCTTCCAAAATGGCGCAAATCTTTGTCGAATGGCATAGACATTTAGTGCCGGGCATAGTTAATGTTATGGGTGCCTTCCCATAGCTTATACTATTCCACCGCAACCCTCTTGGACATTTTTGTTATAAAGTGTGAAAACCAACGTTATGGCCAACTATATGGGACGCAGCGCACATGTAAATTCTTCATTAAAGTCTTCCTCTCAAATGAATAAGAAACAAAAATAAGCATAAATTAAAGAAAAAGGTGTATATTATACATTTTGACTGCATGTTATCGATAGTTCAGGAACTAAAGTACCTAATATAAGCAAATTAGCTAATAACTTAAACAACGAATACCCTTAATCAATTCTAGACTTACAGTATAACAGATTTTCAGCGATAAACATTGCTGAGCTGAGCTACTGATTACATAGATTTAAGGGTGTAGCACAGGAAAAGTAAAATTTTAAATTTTTTTAATGGGTTTTTTTAAAGTAATTTTATGAATTATAAAATTTATAGAATTTATAAAAACTAATAATTACATATTTTAATATTTTAACTAAGGTTTTAGGTATTTGGATAAATTTGAATAATTCGATATTTGAAAAATTTTAAATTAAAAGTTCTCTCGATTAGAATATATGGAAAATGTACCATTTTCCATTCAAAATAAACCAGAATGCAAATTCAAGAATTTGAACACGGAAGTCAAATTTGTGGAAGTAAGAGTATTTACCATAATTTAAGAATAGGCTATAATATCAAACAATGTCGATATTGAAAAAAAAAATTAGATTATTTATTATTATTTAGACAACTCAACTAAGTAACAGTTGAGTAATTAATTTGACCCATTTGACGGTGTCATTTTCTGCGAAAGTAATTTCTAATCTCTCATTTCTGTTGATCCAATCCACAGCACGTGTAGAAATAAATCGTATTGTAGCCCAAATATATTACAACTACTACACGCCGATGGCTTTGGTGAACGGAGCACCGATGTACCTGACCTATCCGAGCATCGAGCAGGGCCGCTATGGAGCGCACTTCACCCACCTGCCCCTCACCCAGATTCGTCCGCCGACGCCCGAGCCGCTGGCCCTGAGCCGCTCCCCATCCAGTCCCAGCGGAGCGGCCGCCAATCCTCATCAGAAACATTCGCGGCCCGGCAGCAGCAACGGCACCGTGCATTCGGCCGCCTCGCCGACAATGGTCACCACAATGGCGACCACATCTACGCCCACCCATCGCCAAAGGTCCCGCTCGGGCACGCCCTCCACGCCGCCTCCACCACCGCCAGCGCACAGCAGCAGCAATGGAGGCTACCATCATGGCCACCATCTGGTCAGCTCCACGGCTGCCACGTAGCAGTATCGCAATGTTGCCGCCGCTGTGGCAGCAGCAGCAGCAGCAGCCGTACTCTTTGTGTAAGTAGAAAAGCATCACAGAATGTAATTGGAGATACATATGTACATGCAAGATACGGGTAACACATCACCAAAACCGTAACTCTGTCGTTTATGATCTAAATGATTGATTTATAGAAATTAACGGGCCTAGATAGCCATATAGTTATCTGAGGGACATAGATACAAACGGATATAGAGACTGAGAGACTGATGGACAATAGACACTACTTATTTCTTATGGGTTTTCTTATGCAAACTTCTCTAAGTGAACCTCTTGCAATAGTAAGCTCGAGTCTTGGCTTACTATTGCATTCGAACATTCGAACTCCATTTTGTGATTTTTTGTGAACATAAAAATACCCTATTTGGAATTCCGTAGATTTCATGGGACCTAAATGTACAAGAAATTCTAGAGAGAAAATTCGATGAAAAAACAATTACTCGTGAATGGCTTCCCCGGAATTATGAGAAATATAATCCATTTACTTGTTTACATTCCATATACAATCAATATAAATTTCATATCTTTGTGACCAACATACAAAACTTATTAAAGGAGAACGCAATTTTTGTCATTTGTTGTGGTCCATAGAACTGCATGCGCCGTATATCATGAATTTCAATCATTTAGCTTTATTGCGCAGATAGGACTGGGAGAAGGGAGCCTTGAATTCGAATAGATTTAGTGGCCATACTTCCATTTTCTCACTTCCAACTCATTTCGCATGCTGGCCCAGGCGCGTTTCCTTTAATCAAATCAATTTCGCAGCATAGTTTTATGTTTACAATTTAGGTTGGTTGCCGTTGCCGTTGCCTTTGCCTTTCCGGGCCATGCCCTGGCTCCTGGCTCCTGGTGCTTTCCGGCGTGTAAGTTTTCCTTTCTGCCACGTTAGCTGTTTGCTGTTGCTGTTGGTTGCATTTCCGGACTGCGCACGAAAGTATGCAATGGCTTTTTCATCATTTGTCCTGATGACTGCAACGTGGGCAACAAAAGCTTCCTCGTCTCGGGCTGCAGATGAAAAACAATTCCTCTTGGATGGCCCAGTCCCTGCCCTGCCCCCTGCCACTGTTTGGGTGCTGACAATTGAAGCATTTGGCCTTTTCTTGCCAGGGCATTGTTGCCGCTCCTGCCGCTATGGCTGCTGCACTTGCAGTTGCTTAATTCAGAAGCAAGTGTTAAATTTCCATGCTGGCTGGCATTTTTGTTGCTCCTAGTTTCAGACGGAAGAGACGGGCGGGACGAGGTTGGGTTTTGTTCCCAGCGTTTGAGCAGTTTGTTGCCTTTTGTTTTGCTAAGCGATTTGCTTTAATTAAAAACTCAAGTGGCGCCAGAAGCGGCGAGGCGAGGACTTCTCCGGTTGCCCTGTCGCAGATGGAAGTGGGGGGTGGGGAAGGGTCTCAGGTTCGGTGGCAGCCACAGATATCATAATGCTGCCGATGCCCTGGCGAGGCGAATGGGCATCAGAACTTTCGCTTTGCACATTTTACGATGCTCCCCGGCAGACCGCGAAGACGACACTTCAGAATGCATATTTCAATGTTTTGGTCTCGTCAATGGTAATAAAACATTCGCATTGCACAAATATGAAAGAGCGAGAACTGGCATCTAAATCTTGTCTAGAAATCGCCCTGCGTTCTCGGCCCTTCGATTGTTTCGCGCGCCCTTGCGGCACATTAAAAACCTCAACTCGCCTCGACTCACCTCTCACCGCACTCCTGTGGCACTCGCATCAAAGAGACGCAACGCTGTGTTCGGTTTTTATGGGTCTGGATCATAAAACCGAAACTGAATCGCACGAGAACTGCGTGGAAATATTTTTTTCTCTACGCTCGCACTCGTATGTTGGCAAGTATTTGTGGCTTCTTCTAAGCCTAGAACTCACTTTGGGCTGCAATTAAATTTTCCTTTGAGAGGGCGAGACTACAAAGTCGAAGAGTGAGATCTCGTAAAACTATCACAAAGTTCATTTAACTCTGTGACGAATGGGGCAGAGACAGGGACAGAGACATGGCCGGGGATCTGCCAAATCAAACTTATTAAAAAGAAGCAGAAAAGAGGAAGCAAACATCAGGAACAACAAACAATTATTCCGGGCAAAACTCGAACCCATAAAAGCGGGCAAACAATACCGAAAACTTTTACGAGCCTTGGGGAGATCCTGACAGAAGTAGATGCAGTTCCTGAAAGCATATCATTCGCAGAGACACAAATACCCGTGCACATACCCGTACACCGGGCAGGAGCAAATATCCTTTCGAATGGCACTTCAATTCCGTGCCAACTCGCCTTTGTTGCCGTGGCCAAAATGGCAATAAATGCATAAGTTTCCATTTTACGATATTGTGTTTCCATTTTCTGCCACGCATTTCCGTAGACAGTTCTCCGCACCTTTCCCGCTCGGGGTAAGTAGAGGAAAATATGCAACGAAGTCAGGGAAATTCCAACACAGGCGTCTTAGTTTTTGCTTTAATTTTACTTGTCAGATCATTTTTTCATGGGAGCGTTCTGTAATTTCACTGATGTTTTGGCACATCAAAAGTTTCAGACAGACATAAATATACATACATACATACATACATACTTTTATGTATGTATCCCCTGGTGCATTTCATATTGCAGACAACATGAAAGTGACACAATAAGACACACAAAGAAAATTGTTTAGCACCGTTTGATGCTAGGAATTAAAGCCATTCCTTTTTTTATAGTAATAGAGAAAAAAAATACTTATAGTTGTAAATTACAACTATAGAAGTTATTATCAGAGCTATTTAGCAGATAAAATAATTTAAAAAAAAACCATCTGAATAATCAATTTAAATTCAGATCTCTATTCTATTCGAATTGAGTTCAAGAAACCAAACACAGATAGCCAGAATACTATACATATACATACATACATATATAAATACATTTCAATCAATAAGCCTTTATAGGTTGTGACAAGTTCTGGCAACTCCTATGATCCCCAAGAACAAATGCTTCAAACTGCCGACTTCCGGCTCGCTTCCATAAGCAGCAACTTTGTAGTCTTCACTTTGATCTCGTCTCTCCAAAGCTTAAGTGTGCAAAGCCATTTAACAAACATTAACACAAAAAAAATATGTATGCATACTGTGGATATGATTGTTGCCATACAATTTCCGCTGATTTCTAATTTCCGCTGACTTGTCATTAAAGAGTAAATCCCTTCATTTTGATGCTCCACAGTCATCGTCCCCATGCCTAGCCCCATCTCCGCCAGCGTCTGGTATTGGTACTGCTCACTGCCCGGAGGCAGCCATAATAAATGCAATGCTTGCCATAAAAATAAAACACAACAAAATAAAGGAATAAGAACAAAAATGTTATAGTTTTCTGTGAGCGAGTGTCGAGGTTTCGGTTTCAGCTTACGCTGCTCAAATTTCGCCCTGCTCTTGGCTCCAAATGGTGTTCTTGCTTCTCTTCTTCCCCATTCACACTGCTACTCCGACACTCTCCGGCACGGCAAAATCCGTTCAATTCCAGCCGCTCGTACTCTTGCATTCATGGATTTTCTGGTGTTCGTTCGTGTTTATTGTTCCTCGTCGTCTTTCGTGTGCCTTGCGTGCACAGAGCCCTCTGCTCCTCGCTGTTTATGGAGCCGCGCTGCTACGCTTCCTCTTCGCCCTGGTTTTTAGTGGACACGCATTATTAAAAAATAAACAATAATGTATGATGTATACAAAACCGAAACCGAATCCGAAACCAAACCCAGCCGAGCCGTACTCAACGCAGAACCGCATCATTTTCAGCTACTCCTTTTTCGGTGGAAATTTTTTCGTGGCCATCATAAAAAGTTGACGCGAGCAGAAAACAGAAAAGCAGACGCGAAAAAAAGAAGCATATAGTTGAATGGTAGCTCCAGGAAAATAGCGAAGCGCGGGTACTCTACGAAGGGAGTTGGATGCGAAAAACATTATTCACATTGTATTCATTATTATGTTCTTTCATTGAATATACTTCTAAATCAGCATGGTGCCATGAAGTATGGTATTTATGACACAAACTTTAACAATTGAAGTGGATGGGCCCGAAAGTACTCAATAGTTGTATAGGGTAGGATCAGAGTGCTTTTCAGTGTTCGCTTAAGAGCAAATTAGTTTGTCTGCGACAATTAGAAATCAGGCAAAACGAATCGAGAACTCAGAATCAGGGTCGGCCGCATTATCTTAAAACGCGTCGTAAAAATCACATTTCGTATTATAAAAATCAAGCTCTGGGGTCGAGACCCAGCTGCTCCCCATATTATACAGCCTGACTGGCCAGACCAGCCACTTGGACTCTTCGTGGGCAACGGCTGCTATAAAAATGGCTTTTACGAGCGCCGGAGCTGCGTTTATCCTTCTGCATCCGAGGACGCGCTTACCTCAGGGCCGCAGGTAAGCAGGCCCAAGACTGCAGTGGTTGATGTTGATGGTTGGTTGTCTTTGACTGACTAACAGACATTACAATGATTTTAATGGATTTTATGGCTGAGACATTGCACCCATATGGGCGCGCTGGTATCGTGCCATTAAAAATTGTTTTATGCCGCATTTGCGCTTAAGCATATTGCCAATGCAATATTGAATCTAACTAATTAACGAGCCACGAATATCGATTAAAGATAATAATTTGATGCATTTCTCACTTGTCTTTTCTTTCCGCAGCGATAATTAGTGGTATCAGCCCGCTTGATTGGAGATCAGACCCCTAGAAGGAACATAACTCCCGATCCCGACGACTGCATGAATGTTGCATACATATGTATAATCTCTAACCAACGTATGGGCATATTTCAAGATAAGATAAGTTAGAGACTTATATGACACGAACTGTAGAAATAGGCTATCCCAAGAACATATTTTCAGATTGATCTCAACAAAAATCTTAAATAAATTAAAATATCTCGTTGATGAGTGGTCTAAAAGCTTGATGACCCATCTATTTCTAGTATAGCATAGCTCGTTATTCAAATGTAAATTATGTATATATGTTTACATATGTATGCATATGTATATGTATGTTTTGTATATACAAAATTTAACTATAAAAACTTTCTCTGCGAGAATCTATCACTGACCTGCACAAATAAGCGCAACAAAGTTCTTTTAACTTACAGTAGACATAGACACATAGACATATGAGTAAATAAACGATATCTAGTCCTAGGCTTCAGCACGTCCATTCGGAACCTTTAACACAGCATCTGGTAGTATGAGGAATCCTAATAAAATTTGTTCAACTCGTATAGTTCTTACATATGATATGAGATTATCAGCTTGAAGTATACAAATATTAATTTTTTCTAAACATATTTATGCACGAGTATATCTACATATATATCAGATAAATATATATATTACACTTTCTAGGGCTGTGCGCTGCCATGTAAAGAAAGCATGCGGTTTAATACTTTGTGAGAACTGATCTAGCTGATCTGAAAATAGTGTAGCGTCGGCTATATAGCATCTTTACTAAGCTTAAGACTATTTTTTTTTTCCATCCGCATTACCGGCTTTTATCCTTTGTACAGTTTTTCAAAACAAAACAACAAAAAAAACAACCAAAAATGTTATGCTAATCAAATTGTAGTTGAATTTGTTCGTATTTGCTTGAGCAGAGAAAGCGATTAAGGAAGATTAAGATTATATATATACTAAGGAAATTAAACATTAATAGTACACACATTTCAATTTAAACGGAACTCATTGTAAACTACTTAACAATTCAAATGGTATCGTAGCTAAACTAAATACAAGTGCTTCAAAACAAAGAAATACAAAATAAAATAAAAACAACTTTGAAATAACTAAAATAAAAATTTTCCTGTAAATAAAATGAACTCTGGTTTGTGCTTAATACCTAATACTGAATACTTCAAACTAAAGAGAATCGGCCGTGGTCTCAAATTCCAAACAGACCCTTGAGGTCATCAATGGTTAGTTTTGAACTAACCCCGGCGCCTGTTAGGACGCCATTGGCAAGTTCCAATTTATGTTCCTGCAAAGTCAAAATGCGCTGCTCGACTGTGTCCAGACACACAAACTTATAGATCTTGACATCCTTTTTCTGCCCCACGCGATAGATGCGATCTTGGGCCTGGGCTTCCAGCTGAGGATTCCAGTGTAGATCAAGCAGCAACAAATGATTGGCACCAATCAAATTTAAGCCCACACCGCCAGCGGTAAGTGACAGCAACAAGATGCGTTTCGGATTGCGCTGATCGTTGAATTGGTTTACAATTTCTTGTCGATTCTTTACTGGAATAGAGCCATTCAGCGAAAGGGTCGACATCTGATCATTCTCCAAATGGTCGCGCAGTATGTCCAGTACCGATGTCCATTGCGAGACTATAATGGCCTTGTCGTTGTTGCCCTTCAGAATCGAGGATTTCAGTATTTCCATCACCTTGAGCATTTTCGTTGAGGGACGCTTCATGTTGAAAACTGGATTGCTGCGCTTTAGCACATTTTTGGAAGCCTTGGCAATGCGAGCCTCATCCCCAGTTAGCGGCGGACCGTCCTCATCTTCTTTCACTTCGCTGCTGTTTCGACTGCCACTTGACTGACCCGGAGAAGTGGAGTTGTCTTTAATGGCCAGCTTATTAAGCTGCGCCAGTAAATCGATCTCCAGGGATTCCCCCGCGCTGTCGTCAGCGTCCATATTCTTAGCTTCCTCTCCCTCTAACATCTGTAAGAAAGTTCATTCGTGAGTTCGAAGTTCGAACCTTCATTCCCTTACCTTCCCTTCACTTACCGAATCAATCAGACCTGGATGGCAGCAAATCTGCCGCAGACGCAACAGCAGCACCAATATTTCGTGGGACTTTACTTCCTTTTTTTGGCCTGCCATTCGGGCGAACTTCTCGTGCAATTTATAGTAGGCCCCATTAGGATCCTTGATTTGGTTGTATGTGGGCCTGTTGGCATCGGATATGAAGTTAGCGTCCGAGTCTTTTTCGGCGCGCTGGAACAGGAATTGTGCAAACAATGTCCTGGAATATGTCATGACCGTCTGGTACACGTTCATCTCGTCCTTGTCAAGTGAAATCTCAATCAAACGCAACTCCTTGCCGGGCAAGCTGTTCAATTTCCCTTCTAGCTGCAGCTGTGCTTTGGTGCGCCTGAGCATGATGGACTTCATCAGCAAATTGAGACGGTTCTGTCCGCCAGCACTTTTATTATCGATCCACTTCTTCCATGTGGTCAGGTCGTCGAACGGCGAACAGCGCAGGAACTTCAAAAGCGCATATATATCTAGTTCCTTGTTTTGTATGGGTGTGCCAGTCAGAGCCCAGCGGAACTTGCCGCGCAGATCGCTTACCGCGATTGACGCCAGTGCCTTGTAGTTGCGCACAACATGGGCCTCATCCAGTATGATGCGACGCCACTTGACACCAAACAAGGCACTCGACTCCTTATGCTCCCTGCCCACAATGTTGTAGGTGGTCACCACGATGTCGTATGTGCGCAGGTGTTTGGCTTTCGTCTCGCGGTTGTTGCCATGATGCACGCACACGGTCAACCGATGACGGGCGACTTTGGACTCGACCTCTGCCTCCCACTGACGAAGCAAGCTGGCCGGGCACACGACTAAAGTGCCACCGCGATGAGCTGCAACAAAAACAAACAATCAGCCAGTTAAGGGGGTGCGTATACATTGGAAAGACATTATTCGACTTACTATCTTTGCGGCCCTTAGAGTTCCATCCACCAGTGCTTTTCCGCTTTGTGTCGCTCTCTTCCTCGCTGTCGCTGTCCGCGTGGCCGCCAGCTCCGCTCTCCTGGCGGTTCTTGCAGGCGAGAACGGATGATATCATTGTCAGGGTCTTGCCCAAGCCCATGTCGTCGGCCAAGATGCCGCCACGTGGACTCTGCTTCTCGCGCCAAGACATCCACGCGAGGGCATGCTTCTGGTGACCCATTAATGTTACCTTCAGCCCCACTGGATCGTCGGCCAGAACGTCCTCTGAAGGGCAGCCCTTCAGCGACCCATGGAGATCCTAAAAAGACAAAATATTAGTCAGGCTTCTTCAGGACGGTAGATGGTTACCCGCGGGACAAATTCAGGTAGTGAATTCTTAATCTTGGAATGCCCTTGAACAGACGCCGCACAGTAACTCGTGCCCAGCGACCCCCAAATTGGATCATTCTCAAATATCCGTTCTGAGTCATCATCAAGTACAGTCACTTCTCAAAGCAGTTTGAAGCTCTAGCACCCACCTTAAGGGATTCCAGCGTTAAGGCCTTCTGGTTGTTAAACGTGGCCATTCCCTGAGCTCCAGTGAACTTGGGTTGAATAGAGTTGACCGCTGCAGAGAGGACATCCCAGTCGGGTGTATCGTCGTGGGCGGTCTCGGGAGCCTTCATCGCAGTGGCCACCTTCTTGATTGCTACTGGGACTGCTACTTTCAGGCCACTCATAATTTTACTTTTCAACTCAATTTCCCGGCCCAAGGCATCGATACGCTTCTTGATTTGGCTTCCTTTGTCCGGCAACTTTTTGGCCACCTTCTCATAGAGCTTTTCGGCGTCATTCTTTTGGGTGCGCATCTCCATCAGCTTGCGCATCTCCTCCTCATAGTACTCTTGAGTTACATCCTTGCGATTTTCACTCTTGATCAGGGAACGGCGAGAAGCAACCGGGGAGGCGTTCTTTTTGAATGCCGTCTGTATGGTCGGCTGCGTGAGGCTCTTGGTAGACTTAACGACTGGAGCTCCAGCGCTACTGCGGGGCGAATAGGATCGTCGTAAGGGGGGCGGAGCAGATACGTTTTCCTTGTTGCTGCTACTTTCATCCTCCGTACTTGATATTTCAATGGGGGGAATCTCCTTGTTGCTTAGTATGAGGACATCACTGCCACTCGAATCGTCGAGTGACGCTTCAATGTTCCCTGGAAATACTGTTGAGTGCAAAGTCTCCTCGATGTTTCCCACAAACTGCGTGCTGTAGCGTGGCAATAGGCCTCCGCCTCCGCCATCAATGGATTGTCGGGCGCGTGCAGCAGCTGCGTCCGCTCGCTCGACATTCTCGTTGTAGGTCTCTTCCGCTCTAGCTGGTGAAGCCTCTACGTCGCTGTAGTCAATCTCACTGGAATCATCGCTCAGATCCTGTGGGCGTACACCTGTAATGCTCATGCGCGTGCTCGGGGACAAGGCGCGCGAGTCCAGCTCATCTTCATCTTCGCTGTCGGATGCGATCACCGCAAGACGATGCTTCTTCTTCGACTGCGGCTTAGCCCTGGAAGGACGCAAGTCTTCATCTTCCGACTCGGTTTCGTCAATAATTACGCCAGAATTACTATTGCGGCTGCTCCCGCGACTGTTGTGGCGGGAAGCGTGGCTTGATTGCACTACAGCGCGACGCGAGTTTAATGGCAGGAAGGCACATTAGTTTCAGGATTGTTTCATATAAGAGACCATTATAAATACCTGAAACGGTGCTGCCGACTGTGTCGTCTTCATCATTCGTGTAATATTCCTCACTGTCACTGGACATTCTAGATTTTTAATAATTATTTATTTCTATGCGCGCGTTTTTTTGTTGGTCGGTATGAAAAAAGTGTGACCTTAACGACAAAATATACTAGCATATTAGATCGATATTTTTAATTTTTGATACGATAATATCGGGACGATATTTTTGTTGCCGACTATATCAAGAACTCCCAAGGTATTCAGATTTGTTGCTCATTTCGTGCCAAAGATGCAGAACAACGTTGCCTATTCATTTTCAAATGTATCTTACAGGAACGCGTAGGAACGTCGCAGCAATGAATCTACATTCCCGTAAGATACATGTGGCTTATTTTGAAAATTAGGCATATTTCGGTAAGTTTGTGAGGGTCGGACGGTATATTTATACCCGTACTCAAAAAAAAGTTAAGGGATGTATTGTATTTGTGGTACAAGTGGATGTGTGCAACGGAAACGTTTCCGACCCCATAAAGTATATATATTCATCATCAGCATCAATAGCCGAGTCTATATAGCCATGTCTGTCTGTCTGTCCGTCTTGTTAAGCGCCTGAATCTCAGAGACTATAATAGCCTTTTTACTCTGGGCGCGTCTGCTATCGATATCGGAATAGACGCAATGAAGCAGAAAAGGCGTTTACATTGGCAGACGCGCGTCTTGAATTTTCTTTTGGGTGCTTGATGACAAGGAAAGTAAACAAATTTTGAGAAATCAACAGAATTATGCAAGACGACAAGAAAATGGACGAAAGAGAATTGATTCTTATATTTATTTATTATTTTCAGACATTTCTTTGTAGAGCTTGTGGGAGTTCTTCTTAAAATTATGAAAACCATCGAAGTTCGGCTCCAGCAGTGTCATAATGGCATCAGGGGATCACAAAAATGTCGTATGATAATAATACAATCAGTTTCAAGTATTTTATTTCATGATTTTATGTATATTTTCACCTTTTTGCATAACCATTCATTTTAGCGCCAAAATTTGATTTTTAAACTACAAGTTTTTGTTGTTCTTAGAGGTGATAGTTGCGCTGATTGGCAGAAAAGTGCAAAAATGTGCAGTTAAGCGCAAAAGCAATCGAATATATCGAATAGACGCACATGAATCAGAGACCGACGCAACTTTTTGCCACCACTAGGGCCCTATGCTTAACCTATGTAAAAAAAACTGCGTCTTCGCCAAGACGCAAAGAAGCATGACGCAGTCCCAATGTAAACAGCCTATAAGAGTGAGGGTAACCAAATTTGGTTTCCAGACTCATGTGATATCACAGTGCTACAAGTGTATTTCAAAATTTCGCCCCGCCCCTTTCCGCCCCTACAAGGGACGAAAATCTGTGGCTGCCACAATTTTAAAGATATCAAAAAAGTAAAAGCGTAGTGTCGTAGAGAATGACCATATCTACCAGATTGCCGAATCTGAACCAGATCGGATCATCATTATATCCAGAATGAAGAAATTAATTTTCAGTTACTTCCACCGCCTCCTTCAGCAAGAGGCCCGGTACTCATTCTCTTTCTCGCTCGCACACTCTGCCTCGTTATGTACGCGAGCGTTGTTGTTTCTCTTTGTATTTCCTTGCTCTCTATTTTCGATCTAATTTCTCTCATTTTCTGCCTCCACTTTCTACCGCTCAAATGGCAGAAACCCGTTAAATTCAAATCTGATATACCAGGCGAACAGAAATCAGCAGAAGGTCGCTGGTTTTTTTAATTCTCTTTTTATCTTGTTTCTCTTTGTATTTCGTTGCTCTCTTTTTTCGATCTAATTTCTCTAATTTTCTGCCTCAACTTTCCACCGCTCAAATGACAGAAAACCGTTAAATTCAAATCTGAGATACCAGGCGAACAGAAATCAGCAGAAGGTCGCTGGTTTTTTTAATTTCTCTTTTTTTCTTCTTTCTCTTTGTATTTCCGAACAAATTCGATCTAATTTCTCTCATTTTCTGCCTCCACTTTCCGCCGCTAAAACGGCAGAAAACCGTTAAATTCAAATCTGAGGTACCAGGCGAACAGCAATCAGCAGAAGGTCGCTGGTTTTTTTAATTTCTCGTTTTTTCTTGTTTCTCTTTGTATTTCGTTTCTCTCCTTGTTCGATGTAATTTCTCTCATTTTCTGCCTCCACTTTCCGCCGCTAAAACGGCAGAAAACCGTTAAATTCAAATCTGAGGTACCAGGCGAACAGCAATCAGCAGAAGGTTGCTGGTTTTTTTAATTTCTCGTTTTTTCATGTTTCTCTTTGTATTTCGTTGCTCTCTTTGCTCGATCTAATTTCTCTCATTTTCTGCCTCCACTTTCCGCCGCTCAAACGGCAGAAAACCGTTAAATTCAAATCTGAGGTACCAGGCGAACAGCAATCAGCAGAAGGTCGCTGGTTTTTTTAATTTCTCGTTTTTTCTTGTTTCTCTTTGTATTTCGTTGCTCTCTTTGCTCGATCTAATTTCTCTCATTTTCTGCCTCCACTTTCCGCCGCTCAAACGGCAGAAAACCGTTAAATTCAAATCTGAGGTACCAGGCGAACAGCAATCAGCAGAAGGTCGCTGGTTTTTTTAATTTCTCGTTTTTTCTTGTTTCTCTTTGTATTTCGTTGCTCTCTTTGCTCGATCTAATTTCTCTCATTTTCTGCCTCCACTTTCCGCCGCTCAAACGGCAGAAAACCGTTAAATTCAAATCTGAGGTACCAGGCGAACAGCAATCAGCAGAAGGTCGCTGGTTTTTTTAATTTCTCGTTTTTTCTTGTTTCTCTTTGTATTTCGTTGCTCTCTTTGCTCGATCTAATTTCTCTCATTTTCTGCCTCCACTTACCGCCGCTCAAACGGCAGAAAACCGTTAAATTCAAATCTGAGGTACCAGGCGAACAGCAATCAGCAGAAGGTCGCTGGTTTTTTTAATTTCTCGTTTTTTCTTGTTTCTCTTTGTATTTCGTTTCTCTCCTTGTTCGATGTAATTTCTCTCATTTTCTGCCTCCACTTTCCGCCGCTAAAACGGCAGAAAACCGTTAAATTCAAATCTGAGGTACCAGGCGAACAGCAATCAGCAGAAGGTTGCTGGTTTTTTTAATTTCTCGTTTTTTCTTGTTTCTCTTTGTATTTCGTTGCTCTCTTTGCTCGATCTAATTTCTCTCATTTTCTGCCTCCACTTACCGCCGCTCAAACGGCAGAAAACCGTTAAATTCAAATCTGAGGTACCAGGCGAACAGCAATCAGCAAAAGGTCGCTGGTTTTTTTAATTTCTCGTTTTTTCTTGTTTCTCTTTGTATTTCGTTGCTCTCTTTGCTCGATCTAATTTCTCTCATTTTCTGCCTCCACTTTCCGCCGCTAAAACGGCAGAAAACCGTTAAATTCAAATCTGAGGTACCAGGCGAACAGCAATCAGCAAAAGGTCGCTGGTTTTTTTAATTTCTCGTTTTTTCATGTTTCTCTTTGTATTTCGTTGCTCTCTTTGCTCGATCTAATTTCTCTCATTTTCTGCCTCCACTTTCCGCCGCTAAAACGGCAGAAAACCGTTAAATTCAAATCTGAGGTACCAGGCGAACAGCAATCAGCAGAAGGTTGCTGGTTTTTTTAATTTCTCGTTTTTTCTTGTTTCTCTTTGTATTTCGTTGCTCTCTTTGCTCGATCTAATTTCTCTCATTTTCTGCCTCCACTTTCCGCCGCTCAAACGGCAGAAAACCGTTAAATTCAAATCTGAGGTACCAGGCGAACAGCAATCAGCAGAAGGTCGCTGGTTTTTTTAATTTCTCGTTTTTTCTTGTTTTTCTTTGTATTTCGTTGCTCTCTTTGCTCGATCTAATTTCTCTCATTTTCTGCCTCCACTTACCGCCGCTCAAACGGCAGAAAACCGTTAAATTCAAATCTGAGGTACCAGGCGAACAGCAATCAGCAGAAGGTCGCTGGTTTTTTTTAGTTTCTAGTTTTTTCTTGTTTCTCTTTGTATTTCGTTGCTCTCTTTGCTCGATCTAATTTCTCTCATTTTCTGCCTCCACTTACCGCCGCTCAAACGGCAGAAAACCGTTAAATTCAAATCTGAGGTACCAGGCGAACAGCAATCAGCAGAAGGTCGCTGTTTTTTTTAATTTATCGTTTTTTCTTGTTTTTCTTTGTATTTCGTTGCTCTCTTTGCTCGATCTAATTTCTCTCATTTTCTGCCTCCACTTACCGCCGCTCAAACGGCAGAAAACCGTTAAATTCAAATCTGAGGTACCAGGCGAACAGCAATCAGCAGAAGGTCGCTGGTTTTTTTAATTTCTCGTTTTTTCTTGTTTCTCTTTGTATTTCGTTGCTCTCTTTGCTCGATCTAATTTCTCTCATTTTCTGCCTCCACTTTCCGCCGCTCAAACGGCAGAAAACCGTTAAATTCAAATCTGAGGTACCAGGCGAACAGCAATCAGCAGAAGGTCGCTGGTTTTTTTAATTTCTCGTTTTTTCTTGTTTCTCTTTGTATTTCGTTTCTCTCCTTGTTCGATCTAATTTCTCTCATTTTCTGCCTCCACTTTCCGCCGCTAAAACGGCAGAAAACCGTTAAATTCAAATCTGAGGTACCAGGCGAACAGCAATCAGCAGAAGGTCGCTGGTTTTTTTAATTTCTCGTTTTTTCTTGTTTCTCTTTGTATTTCGTTTCTCTCCTTGTTCGATGTAATTTCTCTCATTTTCTGCCTCCACTTTCCGCCGCTAAAACGGCAGAAAACCGTTAAATTCAAATCTGAGGTACCAGGCGAACAGCAATCAGCAGAAGGTTGCTGGTTTTTTTAATTTCTCGTTTTTTCTTGTTTCTCTTTGTATTTCGTTGCTCTCTTTGCTCGATCTAATTTCTCTCATTTTCTGCCTCCACTTTCCGCCGCTCAAACGGCAGAAAACCGTTAAATTCAAATCTGAGGTACCAGGCGAACAGCAATCAGCAGAAGGTCGCTGGTTTTTTTTAGTTTCTAGTTTTTTCTTGTTTCTCTTTGTATTTCGTTGCTCTCTTTGCTCGATCTAATTTCTCTCATTTTCTGCCTCCACTTTCCGCCGCTCAAACGGCAGAAAACCGTTAAATTCAAATCTGAGGTACCAGGCGAACAGCAATCAGCAGAAGGTCGCTGGTTTTT